GGGGATTGGGGGGAAAAGGGACAGAACAAAATTTCAAATTCTAAATGGATTCCAGATCTTCTGGAGTCATTGAGGCTGGATGAAGTCCAAAAACAATTGCCCTGAGATAATCTTTAAATCTTAATCTTCAAACCAAAACTTTTCCCGCAAGTCTGCTTTGAACCAAACAACAGTTTAGCCTAATCCGTAAAGTATGTCTGTCTTGAGCATTGTGCTTTTTCAAAGATCTATCTGTGTGGGGTCAAACTGATAACAGCATCTCAAAAGGTTAGATGAGAAGCTTTGGAGACAGTGACTTTACATTAATAGTGGTGGAATAATTTGCAAAAGGATGGTGAGAACGGTTATACAACCTGAATGTAAACAATGTCACTGAACTGTGCATGTAGAATTTGTTGAAACAGTGAATGCTTTGCTGTGTATATTTCCACAAAAAATTAAATTAAAAATAAAATAAAATCTGGCAATTATTGTATTAAAAACAAAGAAAGAAATGGGGAAGTCCTAACCCCTATACCTGTAAATATGACCCTGTTTGGAAATAGGGAGTACCTTTTGTTATTTTAATTAGGCCATACAAGTATGAGAGTGGATCCTAAGCCTAATCTCATCTGAGTGGTGTCTTATAAAAAGAGCAGAATAGACACAGACACATATGGAAGGAAGGCAGGCCAATGATTGCCCACTGTCTCCAGAAACTAGGAGAGCCGCTCATAGAGGGAACCAACACGAGCAAGACTCTGATTTGCACATTAACCCTCCAGAACTGTGAGAAATTTGTCTTCTTTAAAGCCATCTACTTGCGGGATTTTTTGTTACGGTAGTACTAGGTGACGAAGATAGTCACTTCTGTCATGAAATTATAACAAACTGTCCTCTTAACCCATAACTCCAAAGGACTTGTGTAAATCTACGTATGTATAGCTATGGAAGTTTATATACTATATATGTACAATTTACAAAGGGTGAAGGTGGGTCCCTGTCTGGCGCGCTCAGACTTGCCAATCTCCTGGACACCTGTCTTTGAGAAAGAGAAAGTAACTTCATTGCAATGCACAGAGCAAGGAACCGGGAGTAACTTCTTCAGATCCGGCTCCCTGCACTAAGGGGAAGCAGGGCTTATATGTGATTTGGGCAGCAAGATGGCAGCTGCGCAGGTGTACTAGGGAGGGAAAATTCTAGAAGGCGGCCAGGAAACAGGAGGTGACGTGGTTCTTGTCAGACCTCTCGCTTCAGAATAGGGTTCGGGTGATGAGTTTCCTTCTAATTCATTCCTCCTGTTGCTGCGTCTTCTGTTGAGGTCAATTCGCAGTCCAGGCTGGCCTTTCTGCACATGCCGGGTGGGCCAAATCTGGCTGGGGCTAGTTTAAGGACTAATGGAAATTCACCGGCATTCATAGAGTCAGGTTACACATATGTAATTAACAAGCATCAGTGGGCATATATGGGCTGAAGGAGTGAGCTAACTGGCTTTTTATTCCACGTGGTCCATTCATGACTTGTGTGGCTTTGTGCAGATTCCTTCGAGTCTCTGTGAGTCGTCGTTGCGGTCTGTGGAACGGGGACCCTGACACACGGCAGTCTCTGTGAGGCTGGAGATAAGGGGTGCGAAGTTTTGCACAGTTCTCAACAGTTACGTGGGAAACGTGTCTTACCTTAATTTCTTTCAGGATATCACCAAATATAAAGGAACTATTACAAATATCCTCAAAGACATTTCCGAAGATCTGCAGCCGACTGAACTGTGGAGCATTGCACGTACATATCTTCTGAAGCTCCTGCAGGAAAGACAGAATCAGCCCATTTCAGGATGTCTTCCATCCCCTTTCAGGACAGAGTGTCCCAGCCTGAAGAATCACAATCACCATGTGGCTTTGCCTCAAGGTATTCAGCTCCCCTGCCCAACAGCCTGGTGTTGGCAGAACCAGGTGCAAACCCAGATAACCCATTCCCCTCCAGACACTGAGTATCCTGATGACCCGCTCACTCAAATGTCTTTTCTTTAGTTCTTTTTTCTCTTCCTTCATTCTCTCACACCCTCTATCTATTCCAGGGTCTGCTCTTCTGCTTCCCAATATCCCCAAGGAACTGTCTCTTTTCCATCAGTCCCCTCAGCCAGAAATCTCATCAAGGTTTGGTTATTTCAAACGTAGACCACTATTTTCTTCTCTTTCCTAGATTTTTATCCTTAGAATATAATGTCTCCAATCAGCATGTCCTACTCACAACCGTTAGTTGGGTCACAGTAACACTTCACGTAACACTTGTTGTTCCGCCATTCAAACTTATGGCAACCCCACGTGACAGAGTAGAACTGACCCATACGGTTTTCTAGACGGTCATCTTTAAGGGAGCAGGTCTTTCTCTGGTAGAGCTGCTGGGTGGGTTCAAAACGGCAAATTTTGGTTAGTAGCCGAGCACTTAACCATTGTGCCATAATGTCACGATTACTTTTTTGAAAGAGTTGAGATTCTAGGCAGACCTTACCCATATTATGTAATTCATCAACTCTTTCTTCACTTTTCATTAACATTCTGTTATAGTCCCTGGGTGGCACAAAGGGTTAAGAGCTCAACTACTAGGCAAAAGGTTGGTAGTTCAAACACACCCAGAGGCTCCTTGGAAGACAGGTCTGGCGATCTGCTTCTGAAAGGTCACAGCCTTGAAAACCCCGTGTGGCAGTTTTACTCTGCACACAGGGGGTCGTCATGAGTCAGAATCGACTAATGGCAACTCACAACAACAACACAATGAGTCAGGCAAACCTTTTCTCAGATTCTCCTGCTAGCCCACAAAAATGTTATTTACTGTAGCTGCCATGCAGTATCTGATGCTTCCAATTCTGAAATCTCCCCCAACTCACCAGCTTCCAAACACCTTCTTGCATTTCACCCTGTTACCACTGACTGCTCATGTCGTACGCTCTCAGCAACTAGCAACTTTGCTATATTCACCGGGACAAGTACACTCATGTACCTCATGTGGATAAGTCTCTGGCCACAACATCTCTCCTCCTTGAGCTATGGCACAGATGCTGGTATTATTGCAAAACTGTCTTCCTTACCTGCTCCAACTTTTGTTCATGGCGTATCACTGCCTTGCTCCCAGTAAAATCATTCTTTAGAAGATCTTGCTTTGCAAGGACGTCTTTTTGGAAGCCCAGTAACTTCCTATATCTGTCGGCCTTAGTTATACCAGATAAATAGGAGTCGATGTATTGGTATTCATCCTTGCCGGGGGGAGACATCACACACTGGCGGCTGGACTGCATGGGTTTGTACTTCAGAACTCTCATCTCTGACAATCTCAGCTCTTCTCTCTTTAACTGTTCAGGAGGAAACACACTCATCTCCTTTTTCTCTTCTTTCACAACTTCCTCTGCAATGGAACCCAGAACAGGTGGCTTTGGGTTCAGGTACCTGAATAGCGGGGTGTTCTTAGTGTCGTCTGGAACCAGAGCAGTGTTGATGGTAAAATCAGCCAACGCGTCCTCCATCTTCGCAACCTTCTCGTCGGGTTGCTTTTTCTTTCTGGAGACTTCTGCCTTCCTCGGCCAGTTGGCATTAGGCCAGTGGGATAAGATGGTTTCTGGGGGCCTGTAGAGCTTATTGGGATTCAGGTGCCCAGAGATGTAAAGGTAGACATCATCTCTGTGGTCTCTTTGAAGCTTATTCAGAAGTTTGGTGAGGTTGCATAGGGTCTTAATACCTGGTGTTTCACAGTGTTTCCACTTCAGGTAAGCTGTGCAGAGGAGATAACGAGACCAGTCAATACCACTCTTAGCTCCCCCACAAAAAGTTGGTGTGCATTTAATGAGCTGGCATACCCCAAACTCAAGGGAGGAGGCCACAGATGAGGAGTGGAAGATAGTACCTGACCCAGCCCTTAAAAGGAAAAATGCCTGTGCAGGTCTAAGATGCCTGAGGTGCACACCCAATATGTAATCCCAACCAGAAAATTGAGGCCTTGTAGTCCCGTAAGAACAAGGGAGGATTTTAAAGAACAACACAAACTCAATGGATTATTTTTGACAATATTAGCTAAGGTTCTGGAGCAAAAGTTACAAAGCATAATAATAATAATTCTTAATGATGATGTTTAAAGACCTCCACTATACTTAACAGCTATAAAAAGGCATAATGCTTGGTAAAGCAAAGGGTCAGTGAAAACGAGGGAAATCCCCCATGCCATGGATGGACACAACAGCCACAGCAATGGACTCAAACACAAGATGGTGCGGGACCAGGCCACATTTCGTTCTGTGATATAGACGGTCATCATGAGTCGGAGCCAATTTGACAGGAACTAACGACAACAATATCCTTCACACAACAGGTTGGGAATACAGCGGGTCTTTGAGAGAGGTAGTTTTTGAAGCAAGGAGATGGATGAAATAAAGGTGTTGTTTGTTTTTTCCTGCTTTAATACTAAAATTTCTCAGGGGTCCCTGAGCACACCCCTCAGTCACTGAAGGGTCATCAATCCTCTCTCCCGTCTCCATCTGTCAAGGGCTAAGGAGTGGCAGGATGAAACCCTTGGGAATGTTGACAAGAACCCTAATCCCCTACATGAAGCTGCCCATTTTTCTTATATGTGCCAGTTCTATGGCTCCATGTGGGCAGATGGCCCATGATGTCAAATTGTGGGAAAAACAGGGATTTTGAATAAGCTTTCTAATATTTGGGCTCAAAGAAGATGTTGTACAATCTCTCTGAACCTTAATTTCTTCAAATGATCCTGCAAAACAAGATCATTACCTGCTCAAAAGGGTTGATTGACACCCAAATGGGAGAGCTTTTGGCACAGAGGCACCTAGCATAGAATTGATGGTCAATAAACAGTAACTGTTTTTATTAAAGGGCTACCATGCCAGATGCTCAGACAGAATGCTCACAGGCCCAGCTGTGCCCGGTCACATGCTGTTTCTCCACCAGAGGAAAGAGGGTCTCTTTCTGGGTCACCGTGCACTAGGCATCTTGCAATGGCCACAGAGCAGCCAGCCATCAATATAACTGACTCAGAGAGCCCACAGCAAGTGAATAGCAAACATACATCCACTCACAATGTCGGGAACTACCACACTACCAAAAAAAAGTGTTGCTTTCGAGTCAAGTCCGACGCATAGCGACCCTATACGACAGAGGGTTTCCAAGGAGCTGCAGGTGGATTCGAACTGCCTACCTTTTGGTTAGCAGCCAAATGCTTCACCACTGCACCAGCAGGTCCCCCACTACACTACCACTGCTGCAGAAATTACTGGAAACAGCAGTGACAAGTCCCACCTGAGCCCTGGGCAGGGGCCCTGGTCCTGCATACCTGGGCCATGGATTTACCTGTGCAGACACCTGTGGTGCCTCTTAGGGCCACAACCATTCGCTCTGGAACTAGTTCACCCCTGTTTTTAAAAAAAGGGTGCCTGAGAGATGCCGTGACTGATTCAGTTCCTAACAGGTGACAAGGGGTGGAGGGACTTGTGAACACAGGCATTTCATCCTAACTGTGGGATGATTTCCCTATTCTACAGCCACCTGAGCAAAGGGAAGCAGGAGGGGACTTTCTGGGATCCACACCACATCCAAACATGTTTCTGTGACCAGCCCACGTCTAACAGCAGTGACGATAACACCAGGACACACTATGGTCTCTGTGTTCATCCAGGAGAAGAAATAAAGGCCCCGAGGAAATGAAGGACTGTAATCACTCCTGGTTCTGAGTAACAAATTAACACACACTTAAAAACACACAACACCAAAAAAACAGTTTCCATTGAGTCAATTCCAACTCATGGTGGCCTCATGTGCATCAGAGGAAAACTGTGCTCCATAAGGTTTTCAATGACTGATTTTTCTGAAGGAGATCATCAGGGCTTTCTTCGGAGGTGCCTCTGGGTGGGCTTGAACCTCCAACCTTTCAGTTAGCAGCTGAGGGCTTAACAGTTTGTGCCACACTTAGCAGTTTAAAACCACACCTGTGTATCAGCTCACTGCTCTGTAGGGTAGGGGTCCAGCATAGTGCGACTGGGTCTCTGCTCAGGGTCTCAGGTGGTGAAATCAAGGTGTCACCCCAGCTGAATTCTTGTTTGGAGGCTTTGGGAGAAAATAGCTTCCAAGCTCAGTGTTGTTGTTCGTAGGTTCAGTTCCTTACAGTTGTTTCCTCCCTGGCTGTCAGCTGGGGCCGTTTTCAGCTCCAAGAGGCTGCCCACATCCCTTGGCTTGTGGCCCCTCCATCTCCAAGCCAGCAACAGCACTTAAAATCCTTCTCGTGCTTCCAGCCACCAGCTTCCTCCTTGTCCAGCCTGGAAAACTCTCTGCTCTTAAAGGACTCATATGACTAGGTTGGGCTCACCTGGGTAATCTCCCCATTTTAAAGTCAACAGGGCCATATCACTTAGCACAATCAAGGGAGAGGTACCTCCTCGTGTTTGCATGCCAGGGGATTATGCAGGGTGTGTCCACCAGGGGGCAGACATCTTGGGGTGGATTTAGAATCCTGCTGACCATAGGGACCTTGTCAAGCCTAGAGCTTGATTCCTCTTGACCTGCCTGGTGTAAAGTTAAGTCACCCTTTCTCTCCTGGGTCTACTGATATTGACAAATATTGGACCAAATAATTTTAGCAGTGGGATTTCTGAGAATTCCTCCTTTTAATTAGCCTAGTACTTCAGGGAAAGCATTTATGAACTATTACAATATTAATAGAATATTCTTTCAAGGCAGATATTCATTATAATTCATCACAGGCATTAACACTTAAATAAAGCATTAAAAGTCACTTTCTACCGACTCTCTTTGGAAAATTAAGAGAAGACAACTTAATTGTTGTTGCTTTGTCTTTTGTTTATTTCCAGAAAAAGGATTTGAAGCCATCAGCCAATTAATTAGCACCGACATTTTCTTACTGAGAATAATCTTTCCTTTAATCTTTCCCTTAACTGTAGTAAGACTGGCTTCACTGTATGCCATGCATCTAGATTACATTTTTGTCTGCCAAGTTCTTCTAACATGTACCACAGATCCTGTTCTGGCAATATTTTCGTTAGGGAAGCTATTTCCTGATGAAAATATTGTTTTATGAATATACTGCCACATAACCCTGACAACAGCAACAAAACCATAGTTTAAAATCATTCATTGGAAAATATGGATCTTTATAAAGTGATCTTCAAACAAATTTTTTTTTAAATGAAACCAAACTGACTCTTTGAATACGTACTGATAATAAAGGCATAAGTTTTCGTACCAGATTTGAATTAATAAATATCTAGACCATTTTAACATTTAATATTTTTAAATTTAGAAATTATTAGTAAATTGTCTTTTTCAGGATTCAAACAACAGCTCTTTAATGCCAAAATTATTAGGAATCACTGCTCTATATTATCTAGTCTCTGGAAACCCTGGAGTCCCACAGGGATTCTAGTTAGTCTCTTTCCAGAACATTCTTATTGTCTGTCTCCCCCACACCCACCGTACTACCAGGGCACCATAAAGTTAACAAACATCCTACAGAATGTATTGAAGTTATCAGAACCAGTGGCCATCCAGTTGACTCCAACTCATGGTAACCCACGAGCAACAGAACAAAACATTGCCTGGTCTGCACCCTCTTCATGATCATTGGTAGGTTTGAGTCCATTGTTGCAGCCACTGTGTATTGTGAGTGCCTTCGACCTGGGGGCTCATCTTCCAGCACTATATCAGATAATATTCTGTTGTGATCCATCAGGGTTTCACTGGCTAAATTTTGGTAGATCACCAGGCCTTTCCCAGTCTGTCTTAGTCTGGAAACTCCACTGAAACCTGTCTACCATGGGTGACCTGCTGGTATTAGAAATACCGGGGCCATAGCTTCTAGCATCACAGCAACACGCAAGCCACCGCTGTACAACAACTGACAGATGGGTTGTGGTCACTTAAGTTCACAGACTTTAAAAGAGGGAGATTGGCCTGGATTATTCAGGTGGGCCCAATCGAATCTCATGAGCCCTTAAAAGCAGAGGACTTTCTTTGACTGGAGCCAGAAGAGAGATTCAGCAGAAGGGGAAGTTGGAGAAGCTCCCAACTTAAGGAGGATTCGAGGGAGCATTGCTGGTTCTGAGAGGGAGAGGCCACTCGTAGGGACCAAAGAGGGACCTCTAAGCTGAGGGCAGCCCCCAGCAGACAGCCAGCAATGGAGTGGGGACCTCAGTCCTACAACCACAAGGAACTGGAATCTGTCAATACCAGGATGAGCCTGGAGGCAGGTTCTTCCCTAGAGCCTCCAGAACGGAAAGCAGCCTGTCCACACCTTGCTTTCAGCCCTGAGCAGGGCCCAGCCCAGTGGATCCAGAATCCTGACCTACAGAACCATGAGATAGTAAGTGTGTGGTGCTTTGAGCACTAAGTTTGTGGTAATTTATTCCAGCAGCAATAGAAAAATAACACATTGGGACAAATTTTTTTTTTGCATAGCATTCTTTTTTTTTTATTGTTTTTATTTTTTCCCATACATACAAAAATTTATACATACGTTGTTATGTGACTCTAATCGCTCTCCCCATACTGTGACAGCACACTCCTCCTTTCCACCCCTGATTCCCCATGTCCATTCAACCAGCTTCTAACCCTCTCTGCCTTCCCATCTCACCTCCGGACAGAAGCTGCTCGTTTAGACTCTTGTATCTACTTGAGCTAAGAGGCACACCCTCACAAGTATCACTTTACATCCCACAGTCCAGTCCAATCCCTGTCTGAAGATTTGGCCTCAGAAATTGTTTTAGTTCTGGGCTGATGAGGAATCCAGGGGCCATGCTTTCCGGGGCTCCTCCAG